AGTCTTAAAGCTGTCAAGTTTGAACACCCCTGGGGGATTTTTTTCCTAAAGGGTTAGGGGTGGAATGGTCTTATAACTTGACAGCTTTAAGACTTGCGTGCTTCAAATGCCAGAGTTTCTGAGCCAACATTTTGGTTGCTAAGCAAGAGCGTTGTTAAGTGAGTTTCATCACATTTTACAAGTTGGCCACGCCCACCCAGTCACATGACCACCGAGCCCCACCTACCCAGATGGTCATTAGGGCAGAGAACCGGTTGTTAAATTATTTGAATCCCACCACTGATCTACATATATTGCAGTGGCTCACAGTCCACAACCTTCATCCAGGGCTACCAATAAGAGTTTATCAAAATTCATGGTCATAAAACTATGGTTTTTAAGTTGCATGTACTTTTCTTCTAGCAAAATCATAAATAAAAATAACAAAGTGGGGCAAGGAGAAGAACTGAATACAATTAACTTTCCATTCAGTGACACTTAAAGAATGCAATGGACACACATTAGATGCAGCTTATATCAATACTTTCCCAGAGGATCCTAGGAAAAAGAGGTGAAAAAACGCTGCACCTGTCCTTGAAAAAGATCCTCAGTATTCAGGAAAAGAATTAGAAATCACTGGATATCCTACATAAATAAATACAAAACTGGGAATGTTTTTCTGGATGGAAAGGATGAAACTAATGCAGAAAATACCGTACAGATGAAGAGGAAGAAATATTGTTCAATCTGTGACTATCAATTCATTGCCAAGGTTTTGACACTAGGGGATGCTGTAGGCTAAAATGATTGTAATCTATGGGCTAGATAGAATAATCCAATTTTGAGTGAGAATACAAAAAGCATATCTTGTTAAATTAAATACTTTTTATATTTATACACACACACACAGGATGCTTTTTAACTTCACATTGTATTCAAAAACGTTTTGTGTTCCTAAAAGGTGCTGAATATTGCAATGACCTTCAGTCAGGCAGAAATGTAATATTCTTTCTTTTGATTCCACAAACTCTGAATATTTTAGAAAAAAGAAAACATTTTATCTATTTATTTAGGGGTTGAATTTTAACAAAAGGATAATGAAAAGGGCACTTTTATTTTTAACTATGTTTTATGGATTGTTGCAGCCCTTAGATTCATTATATGAGATAGTAGCCATGGAATTCCTGACAATAAATAAAATAAAATAAAATAAAATAAGGCAGGCTGGTATAACTCACATGTTCAGATTTAAAAAGGCTAAAGATTTCTTAATTTTTAAAAAAAGGTGAAACAGCACAGGGGAAATGCAACCTTCTCAAAATCTGTCTTTCTCTTCCTCACAAAGACCTTGATGGACTTACTCTACCTACTGTATTCTTATTTCATTATTTAAAAAGTGTTTCCTCTATAATGTATATAAGATCGTTTTTCTTTTTGTTTTCATCATCCTTTTTTTCTTAGTGGCATGTTATTTTCAGAAATTGCTAAAGAGCATCATATAATCACAACCAAACCTTGAGAAAATGGCAACAACATTTCTTCTCTACTGATAGAAAATCTGCTTCATATTCTTACCATGGACTGAATTCGTGTTAAGCTTCTGGGGTTTTTTTTTTGTTCATTGTCCTGCAACATTTTGTGATATGACTTTATCCTTTTATCTTTAACAACTGAGAATGTGGGACATAAAACAGATTTGTCCTTTTTTATAGACATGTGAGTTATTGATATAACTATGTAAAAAAAAAAACCATGAATTTGCAACACAGAATGAAACATTACACGTTTCTGCTACGAGACAACTTGTGATACTCTTCACTTACCTACTCGAAGTTTGAAATCATTAAAGGAATGCTTGTTTATTACATCCAGTTTCGCTCCAAGGGCAAATGCAAACTCTACCATAGTCCCAATATGCATATATTGTCGCTCAGGTTCCTGAATGCAAACACACATCACAATAAGGCAAGTGAAATAAATCAACACATGTCACCAAACTTGCTTTCTATGCAAATCTGGGAAGACATGCTTCAATTTTAGGGCTACATGAACATTCATTAATAATATCAGTATCAATAATTAATATCAAGGGGACTTCTTAGAAAATGTGCCAAACTTTAGCTGTACATTATTTATTGCAGTATCTGAGAAAGCATAAAACAATATTGTTATGTTTGCTGCAATCTAGGAAACATCAACATGCACGAGATTAGGGATAAATCTCGTATTCTTCAAATCGTGAACACACTACTTTCTTCCTGCAGTTAAGAAATTTCCCAGGGCTTTATCTAGGTATTTCTGAGCTGTTATGAGACCATATGCCAGTTTCCCATAGGTAAGACCTTTCCCAATTTCCTTGCATAAGCATTTGCTGCTTGCTGATCTCAACGCTCATCATTCCACTCTCTGTCAGTGGTCTGCTGCATGAAGTAGCATAAGGAGAATATATATTAAAGAGGTTAGTGCCTGTTGTTAAGGCTAACACAATGGGACTCTCAGTTTGGGGCCCAAGCTGCGAAATATTGGAATCTGCCCTTTACTGCAAAATGCAAATTAAAATGAAGGAAACAATCCCTTGGGTTCCTGTATCTGTTTTACTAAGAAGAGTCCAGCTGTCTTGGACTATGTCTCATCATGAATGAACACTAGGGTATGTATCCATTTTATGAGCTGCAATGATTAAATAGCAAAGCAGGATGGGGCTATTTCTGTGTATTTTGAAGACGCAGCAAAGTTCTTTGAACGTATCCTACTTGCAAAAGACGTAAGAATCAAAATCCCTCTGAATTTCATTGGAAAGGTAGAGCAGGAAGAGAAATAAAGTTTGATTTGTACAATTTCAAATTTAAATATAGATATAAACACTGAAATGTTAGGTATTATAAATACAATATTTTCCACCTGATATTTTGAAATCTCTCAGAAGCATACTCCGGCCCTTTGGAACGAGCTCCCCGCAGAGATTCGGACCCTCACCTCTTTTCGGCCTTCCGAAAAGCCGTTAAAACCTGGCTGTGTCGGCAGGTCTGGGGTCGATGAGTTCCCTTCCCCTCTCGAATCGTGT